TCACTTAGAGGGTGCAGGTGTAACGTGCCGAAAGCAAGGACACTGCTAATCTCTGCTGTCCTCCGGAAGGAACAGGACCACAAGCAATTGCAATCTTAACCAAGATGTATGGGTTTCGAAAGTCAATCAGCATTGTATAGGGTCTCTACATCAGTGCAATAGATGAATGCCCATTGCTCAAGATGTATGCACAGCCCCCATGTATTCCAGCATAGCTCCATCCTGATGCTCAGAAACTGAGCATGAGGTAATTACAGCAGAAGTTAACAAAATAACTTTCATCGAATGCCTAACAAAGGAGCCTAAAGTCTAATTGTGAGAAATCAAACATTCTCTTCAGGGCCGAAATGCCTGTCAGCCGCAATTGGCTTCCAGCTCTAAGTGTCTACAGACATTAGTCTAAAGTCATTTGGTCTCAAGTCTGGCAGCTATTTGGTTCTTTTGAGCCTGTCTGCCACTTTTCATTACTCTCCCAGCTTCTCCAGCATCTGCATTATCAGCTTCACTATCGTCAGCATCACTGTTAGACTCCCATTCTTTGTGTGAAGACACATGTGCTTGGTTTATCTCCCCCTCTACTAATTTGTCACCTCATTGTTGAGCTAGGTCGTGCAAAACGCAGAAATCACTATCCTGGAGATATGGTCTGGTGAATACTGGTGGTAGTTGTAGGTGGTGACATTTCTAATCACATGATTCGTTGGCATTCACTTATCTGCAGGTAGCTGCAATGCCTTCAATAGAGCATGGTACACTTTTCCATGATGTTGAAGACATTAGTTCTCCTCTTTAGGTGCTGCTTGATGATCCAGACCTCTGAGCCTCAGGTTTCTGGTGCTGTTAGCATTGGATATTCCCTCACTTTTTCCTTCTCCTCCTCCATAGGCATAGCAAAGCCAATACAGTTGGTGGACTTAGCTAGCCGAACATTTAGCATTGAATGAGCTGATGCTTGGTTTCTTCTTGAGAACCTGCCCTACTTAATCTCATTTTTGGGCTGTTTCAGTCTAAGCAAAACACCTGCCCTGCAGCCACTTCAACATGGTGAGGGCTATCCTACATGACCCTGCCTAACAAGATTATACCCACGCACATAATTCCTGCAGGATAGGACATTAATGTGTACTGATGCAAAAGAGGTTGCTTGAACGGCTCCAAGGTTGTAATAATGAGAACTTTAATCTCACATTGAGAATCCAAATTTTGTTCCCCTGCCTAATTACGCTCCCATTCACAACCTTTTTTTTAAAAGCTCAGCGTTGTCCCAAAACATTCCATCTGATCTATTCTCTCCATTTTTTCACCTATTGAATTGATTTCTTATCAGAAGTTGCAGTAGAAAAACTTGTTAATATAAAATCCTCAGTAAATGGCATCATTTTCAATAAAATTATGCCCTCAGAAGAAAAGATAACACCATTTGCTGCTTTTCAGTTGCTAAGTAATCACAGGAGACTGTTAGTGTAAAATGGTTGAATACTCAACTTTCAGACAGACAGTAGTAATTTCACATCAAAGGCTGCTTGTCACTTGAATTTAATTCCTTCCACTTGGTGATTTCCACCTATCTTCAGCCAGCTTGTGGGTGGGGTGCCGTATGGAAACGGAATTTTCTATTTTCTGGAATAAAATACCTTTTGGCATGGCTCACTTGATTGTCATCTGTCAGTCATTGTGAAGCATCTTGGATTTTGGTAGCAGAAAGCCTTATGAGTCAGACAATTCTGTCCTCCGTATATTTTTGTTGCAAAATATTACTTATCTTCATGGATGCACTTTTGTTAATTCTTGCAATTATGATAACATTTATTTTCATATATCCATTTGTGGTGTGTAAATTATCAGGTTGTAACATTTAAGCCCATAAGACTGGGTTTATTTGATTCTGCCTCAGTACAAGGACTGGGCTTGTTGCAATGTTTTTAATTGATCACTCAAATCAGTTCAAAAGGTTGGTGACGAACATTTAAAGAATCAGTTACTTTTCTCATGAGAGTCAGTGAGGGTGACCCCACGTTGCTGAACATTGGGACAGGAGTAGGGCATTCAGCCCCTTGACCACGTTTCACTATTTAATGCAATCACGCCTCGTCTGTGAGTTAACACTATACCAGGTCCATTTCCCTTTATACATTTGCTTAACAAAATTTTGCGTCTCTCAGATAAATGTTGCTGTTGGTTGGCTCCATGCAGTTGGGATAATCCTGTGGCAGTAAGGTTCTGCTCAGTGTAGCTAGAGAGCGAGAATTATTACAGTAATTAGATGGCAGAATGCAGTCATTTGAAGCACAGTAGGATGCAGTCTTGAGAGAAGAGATTGAGCCGCTGGGAGCTGAGCAGTGGTTGGCCATAGTGTGGTTGAAAAGCTTGGACCATGTCTGTGTTTAAATGATGGCATATAGCCTGACCATTGCAGTGGCACACATTCTCAAAGATTCGTCAGATAAACAAGGCAAAAAAAAGGGCCTCAAAAATTGGCTCTTGGAGTAGATCGAGCCTACTAAACTTGTATGAATTAGAGCAGATGTTAACTGGGGATCAAGCTAGCTTTCTGAAAGACAAAAACTAATATTCCTCATGCGAGAGACAGTTTTAATTTTTGTTTTGTGACTCACAGTCATTACCCTTATTTGGGTAAATTGTTGAGAAATTTGTGGGATATATCTTGGTTATATCTGCAATTTCATGTTCACTTTGCGATGATCAACCACAGTTTGCCCCATATTTACCACATGTTTATTTTGGTTGTTAAAGTATAAATTGTATATCCATTACAGGTGGGTTTAGATTACTAACTTTGCATAGCAATGTTTATTTTGTTTGTTCAAAATCATGAAATAGTCTGGCTTTGTTCCCTTAGTAAGTATTTGGGATTTCAAACTTTACCTGAAATAAGCAAAAATAAATGAATGATCACTAACCAGATTATAAATAAATTTGCTGGCCTTGCCTAGGATTGTAACACATTATAAAATCATGTCTCTTCCATTTAGAATGGAATTTTGAAAAATAAACATATCAAGATATAATTATATCCTTTACCATGGGAGGTACTTCCAGCAGAAGCTCTGATTAGGTTGGTGTAGAAATCATTTTAGTTACAATATGACAACTTACATACAAAATGTTCATAATAAATTTAAACATCAATCACTCATAATGGCAATATTAAATTGAGGACAAAATGTATACGGAAGATTTTAGCCCAGCTTTCTGGTGGGAACTAGGCCAAAGGTCAGCAACATTCAATTGTGAGATCCTGCTCCATATCCATAGTTTGTAATTTTAATCTACTCCTATGGGTAGGCCTCAAGGACAAATGTTTAAAACTAGTGGGGGCTTCCTTTCGATCTATTGTAGATGCACGGACAAGGTTTGGATCATGTAATTGATAATGCCCAACTGCAAATTTAACCAGTGAATTGAGCAGAGATGTCATTCATTCTAGGTTACATCAGGGCTTTTTGCACGCTATTAGGATCATTCTGTCCAATATTGCATAAGTGGCCTACACTTCATCCTGCTAACTTAATTTTACAGCCCAAAACTGCTCAACTACCACAGCCATCAGGAGTATGCTCCATGGAAGCTCAGCAGCCTTGAACAATGGTGGTCAAGGGGACTTACACACAGGATCATGGAATCAAAACTGCTGCCGGGAAACCAGGCACAGATTAGAATGCAATCTGTGTTTGCAAGGAAGTGAAACATTTTGAACGTGGAACCCAATTTATTGAGAAAGATGGCAGAATGGTGATGTATCTTGGACTTTATTGAATTTGGTATTGCACATAAAGGCTAGTGTTGTTTGATCCTATTTTGTTATTTCCAAGGGAACAGAAATATAGGTATTTCTCCTCATGTAGAGCTTTTCACATATAGAGCAGCATGACAAGACCAGCTGTGAATATTATGTAATCTTTGTGAATGCAGTCAGAAATATTTAAACACCAGCACAATCATTTTCTTAGCAGTCAACATAATGTTTTCATGTTTCTAAAACACCCAAACATTGCTCTCAACCTCACATAACAAACAGCAATTAACCACAATGTAAGAGACGAGCTCTTGAAAAATGCTGGTGATGGTTTTTCCAACCTACGAGCACATGTTACTAGGCATGTTAGCTGTTGGGCAGAACAAAATCTCAAAAATTTACACATAAAGGATCTTATTTTAGTGTTATCAGTAATTTTAGTAATTCAGGTAAGCATCCTGGATGCATACAGAATGCCATGATGCCCTCTTGCATATAATATGCTTGATCAGAAGACTTAGGAGCTTAATCATCTTTTCATCTGAAAAATGGCTGTGGTCTCTCGGACACGGTTTACCCTGATCAAGCACCAGACAATCCTATTTCAGAATTGCTACACATATGTATGGAATAAAAAGTGGTCCTTAATGACTACTGAACGCGAAACTGAAAGGAGTGGTGCTCCCCATTAAAACCAACATCCTGCCAGCTTCTGTTCACACTGTCATGACTGCCTCCCTTCCCTGAGAGAGTATCCCAACCAGTTTTGCGATAGAAGTAACTGGACAGCTGCCTCTGGGGACTGCCCCTGGCAGCTGTACTTCACAAGTGCTATCCTAATGAGGGTGGAAAGACCAGTTTGTCGTGGTCCTCCTTTTAACTTTATAGGTGTCCATTATGCCAGGATTGTGCCCCCAACCAGATGGAGCATTTCAAAAGAAACATGATCCAGTTTCCATGGATACAAATTTATCTTCAAATTTAAATTGTACTCTTAACTCTTTACTTTCTCTTCTGAAATGCTTGTCATTCGTGGTGGATTAAACTTGACAGTAAAGACAGAAACTAAGCCTCAAAAAAAACTTTCTCTGAAGACAATTAAATCAGTTCCCATTCACCAAACTCAGCCCTTTGTCTTTATGACTAGCTGCTGAACATCAAGATAATGTTGTTCCTGCCTAAAGGGGCTTTGAAAAATTGTATCTTCAAACATATATACAACTAAATGATAGAAACACCTTACCTTGCACGATCAAATGCACTTGATAGGTCTTAGGATGGTGCTGGGTCTGCACTGAACATGTGTAAGGACCTTCATCAGACACATCCACCTGTTGAATCTGAAGGCTATACTCTAAGCGAGCGCTGGTCAACAGAGTGACTCGAGGGTCCAGGGACCATTTGTCATTTCCAGCAAAAATGATATTAGATCGGTTCAGCCAAGCAACCTTTGAGATTCTGTCATCAACATAGCACCTTCAAAAAAGACAAGACTTCCAATCAATGTCGTTAAAATAGTAACTAAAAGAAACAGAAAAAATACAGAGAAGTTATGAATAAATTCAAATATCCTAACAAGTTTTAATTCTGTTCATCCTAAAGTCTAATATACAGGAGCATGCTGTGACTGCATTATTTATGCAGGAGATAATGGATGGTTACATGAAGCATGCACAGGATATTCATAGACAGAAGTCGCTTTCACACATTTAGCATAAACTGAGAGAACAAAAATTTGTCGGTTAAAATCTTTGACTGGAATACTAGCAAAAATCCTTTACCAGATGCTTTTTCCATGTATTTTATCGTATGCAGAAAATTTGATACAAGGCTAATGGTGATTACTTTTATCATTGCAGGCCAATTAGAATAATTCAAAGTGATGCCTAGCCACACTGATTAATCAGCTATGAATTCTGAATCAACAAAATACAAGACTCAGATATTTGACCTGATGTGTGCCGAATGTGTTACATTTCAGAGGATTCACAATTTTTATTTAAGATAAAAGTACTGTATATTTGTTGTAAAACTGGCTTCGGACAGTACACAAACTTACTCCAAATCAGCAAGTAACAGTGCTTGCAATATTAATGAAAGCAAAATACTGCAGATGCTGGAAATATGAAACAAACACAGAAAATGCTGGAGAAACTCAGATCTGGCAGTATCTGTGGAGTGAGAAACCAAATTAACATTCTGAGTCCATAATGACTCTTCTTCAGAAATTAACCCAGTTTGAAGAAAAGTGATATTACACTTGAAACTTTCTCTCTCCACATATGCTGCCAGACCTGCGGAATTTTTCCAGCATTTTCTATGTTTATTGCAAATGTTAAATTGTTTAAACATTTTTTTCTTTATTTCCTTCTTGAAAATAATTCTTAACAAATACAGTCCTAACAGATCAGAAATCCCAAAATACACACAATGAACGCCAAAATATGCAAAATGAATATCATATTTTGAAAGCACAACAGCATATGCAGCATTTTGAAATACATTTAAATGAACTGCACAAGTTTGTTTTACAGTTGGAATTTAATTATAAGGAATATTGTATATGGTTTCTCTGCAATTGACAGTTGTGTACTATAATATTCGTGGCGTATGTAAGAGAATGCTACAATGAAGAATTGCTATATCACAGATTTTAAACAACTTGCTTCTAAAGTTTATTAATATAGGTTTGAGTCTTCCAAAAAAGTCATGGCATAATAATTAGTAATATGTTATTTTCTTCCATCATTGGATATCTAGTACCATGTTCACAGATGCACACTGGAAGAAATTGTTTATGTTTGTTGCCGGGCACATGGCTGTAGTTCTTTTTGGTGCAAGTTGAATATAAAAGTCCATTATGAAAAACATATCGTAAGACAGCACCAGATTTGAGAAAATATTTATTTTAGTCACAATTATTATTTTAAATTCATTTTATAAATATATCTATTATATATAAAATATACTTTAAATATATAGTTTCTCAACCTTGAAACAAAACAATTTAGACATTTCTCAAGATGCAACAATATAAGACTGTTGTATCCTTTCTGGTGGGTTGGCACAGGGAGTATACATTTTTAAAATCACCACCAAAACACTGCTTGTGAAAAGCTGTCATTTCATAAATGGATACAGGCTGCTTCAAGGCACTATTTAATAACAAATAATGAAGAATGCACCATGTAGTGAAGAATAATGTACCTCAGAATCTAATTGAAGACAATGATTTTGACGACCTTACCAAATGAATTTTGATACACCCTCGTAAAACAGTTTTTGCAATGCATTCTTTTGTGGTTTTATCATTTTTCAAATTAGCAAAAGAACTGTATACTTTGCCACTTCTAATAATAGTGTAACTGAGGTTACATCAGATTAATTTTGGTGAAATTTGTCTTTGCTTACACAAGGAAACTCAAGTTTGAGATTTAGGAAACAAATCAAAAATATAAAAGATAGAATAAAACAATAGAACGTCTCGTAGTATTTTAAATGACAAAAATATGGAAGCAATTCCTCCTATGACTGTCTTTCTCCGTGTGGGAAATTTTGATCAATAAGACAGGTGATATCTATTTGGACATCTGTTATATGCATCTCAAACTGAAGTGAGAACTGGTAAGATGAATACTGGGCAACTGAACTGAATATGCATGTTTTACACTTTTTCAAAAGTCAAAATTACAATTCTTTGACAACAAGTTGTTTGCCTTCTCTGTTTCTGTCTTTCTGCCTCTTCAGTTTGTCTTTGCTTCTCCTTGCTTCATGGTTTTTCCCTCTCTTGGGAAGAATTTTATGCAGCTATGAGGCAAAGAAAAAATAACAGAATAGCTAAAGGAAGTTGCAGACCAGAAATAAACGTGACCACTAGGCCTCAAGACAGGCATATCTAGAAAGAAATAGTGCAGGCAAGTGGAATATGTTGGAGTAAATATTTGAGTATATTCTTTTATTTTGATGAATACGGTTCACCTTCGTGATGTTAACTATGGCCTGAATCTTATGCCTTTTTTTGGCTGAGTCTGAGTCGCATCAATTGCTTCGGGTCTCACCTAGAGGTCCAGTGAGCTTTCTTGCTGTGAAGACTAGTTGGCTTTCTCACCCTAACTTACCAAACCCACCTCAATAACTTACCAACCAGACCAAATCTGTGAAATCTCTCACATCCAGTTTCCACCCTATTTACCATGTGCTGTTCTAGGACCGTATCACCGCTTAGTGGATATCGCCCAAAGATTGGGGTCACTTGTGCCATCTTTAAATTACCATAATGTATCCTGACAAGAATAGGCAGTCTGAACCCACCCAGCCCATTGGTAGACAGAATTGGATCTTTTTGAAACATTGGAAGGTGGTACCATATTTCTCCAACAGAGGCCTGGAAGTCCTGGTGGACGGATGGTACAAAGGTAAGGCATCCTCTTCCCAGTGGACTGGCAAGAGAGGTCATGCCACCAGATTATGCCAGCCTAGTCTGAGGTCACCACCAAAGTCATTGCTGTCTCCAAGATACAGACAAATGGGCAGCAATGTAGAAAGAAAATCAATGACCTACACCAGGGTAAGTGCCACATTTTTCTTTCTGCCACCTCACACTCCATGTATCAAAACAACTGCACATACATCCTACCAAGCCTCAAGCACCACCAACCTCATTGTTTCCTGAAACACATTCTTCACCCTCAGCCTCTCACACCACTAACCCTGCATGCTCTCCACTCTCTGTCTTCTCAGTCTCTCAGAACACCTCACCACCTTTCCCCCACATGCACTAGGACTAACATCTGTGCCACAGACGATCATCTCACTCATTTCTCCCCTTTTTCTAATTGCAACAGAAGGCAGTGTATAACTAGGCAGAGAGAGACTGGATGAGTGCAGATACACCCAACATTGTGCTCCATGCTTGCTACAAGGGGAACAGCCTAGCCCTCCTAGAATACAACCATGGCCAATCCTGCAGGGATGTCTAGTCATCCACATATCATAAAATGAGCAAGTACGTCTCTGCATACCACTTCCGGTCTTTCAATAACCCAACTATTAGTCTCAATTGTTGGACACCACTTGCAGCCATCAGCCATGGCTCTCTGTCTTTTGTCTTGCAAGCCTCCTGATGACCTCTGTGGAGAAGCAGCTGGCTGCGGAAGAACTGCCTTCCTGTGGATGACAGTATTGAGGTTGTCAGAAGAAGCATTATCAAGGCTGCCTCTGCACCCCTAAACAGACTAGATACTGAAATCTCAGTGGGAGTCACAGGCACCTCTCTACAACAGCTCCACAGCTGACTAAGGAGCAAACAGCCCTGGCAACTGGCACATCAAAGGATTGTTGGAGGCCAGGAAGCTGCACAGTCCCAGGGAGGAGATAATCCTGTATTGGTAATCAAGGACATCACCTCACCCAAATGCACATGGAGGAACAGTAGTGACAGATAGGCATATGGGATACAATTGCCTTCATTTCCTAGAAAATGCAGCAGTGCAATAAATCATGTAACCCCCTGGTATGGAGGTCATTCAAAGCAGGCAGCATGCTGAGTCTGCCAGGTGCTCACTATGGTTACCATATCAAGTTTTCATATGGCTAGCTTGATTAGCGAGCTTGGTAAGATGGAAGGCTGAATATTAATAAAGGTGAGTTGTGGCATTAACAAAATTAAACAAGCAACAATAACCATTAATTGACATCGTGCCACTGCCACGTGAAAATCTTGCCATGTTGCTTGTGAAAAGCAATAAGAGATGGAGCGAGATGATCACAATGTTAAGCTGGGCCTCAACACACATGTCACCTAAGCCAAGTTGCTCAGGCACTTCTAAGATTCCACCCTATGTGTTTTTTGGCAAAATTAAACAACATGTGTGAAAGGGCAGCACCTAGATGGATACAAGATTAGCTAAAGGACAGGTAACACAAAGGAATATGGCAGGAAGAATACAAAGAGGCAGTATAATCCAAATGGTAGAATTAAAAAGAGGATGTAAGAATAGAGAGATCAGTGGTGTATAAGCACAAATCCTTGAAGTTGGGAGGACAATTTAAAAAGGCCACTAAAGAGTACATGGGAGTTTTGGTTTTATTAATAGAAGAATACAGTACAAGCAAGGAAGTTATACTAAAACTTATGCAAAACACAGTTTTAGCCTTAGCTGAAATTTGGAGAAAAGAGTCACACCGTACTTGAAAAGTTATCTCTGTTTCTCTCTCCACGAATGCAGCCAGACCTGCTGAGCTCCTCCAGCACTCCGTGTTTATTTCAGTCTTCACTGGTCAATTGTTCTCGATTCTGGGCAACACACTTTCAAAGTTAACATAGTGTGGAGCTGGAGGGACACAGCAGACCAGGCAGCATCGGAAGAGCAAGAAAGTTGACGTTTCGGGTTGGGACCCTTCTTCAGAAAACCCGACCCGAAACATCAACTTTCCTGCTCCTCTGATGCTGCATGGCCTGCTGTGCTCCTCCAGCT